TACTGATGATGATACCAGTCTAACATTTTAGATTTAGCTCTGGTTTGTGTTGGAAAAACATTATATGTTCCACCAGGCAAAACAGACAAATTATTCTTTTTGAAACATAATGTTTCAGAATGCAATTTTATATATGTCTAGTGAAAAATAAATCCCACAGAATTCAGTTGGGCTTAATTTTCAGGAATATTATATTTGTATTTTAGACTTGGTATTAATTCTACCTCCTGCTGCTTCCCTTTCTGTCTGTTGACTATGTTTTAGCTATTTGGTGGCTATTTTTGTATCTTAATTTCTATGGGTAGTCCTCAAGATACAACTACAGTTGGGGCCAGAATATATGTCATTAAGTCAGGTGGTTGTTAAGCGAGTGGCAGTCAATTTTATGACCTTTTTTATTGTGGTCTTTAGTGAATCACCATGATCATTAAGTGAATTATATAGTCATTAAGTGATTCCCCCATTGATTTTGCTTGTTGAAAACCAGCTGGGAAGGTCACAAATGGTGATCACGTGACCGCAGAACACTGCAGCTGCCATAAATACACGCAGGTTGCCAAATGTTTGAATTCTGATCACTTAACCGTGGGGACCCTGCAGTTGGTTGTGTGAGGATTGATCATAAGTTACTTTTTTCAGCACCATTGTAACTTGGAGCAGTCACTAAATGAATGTTCGTAAGTCGTACCTGTATTTTAGTGCACACAGATAAGTCGTCTCTGACCTTTCTTTCTGTCCAATCCTCCTTCTCTAGTGATTTTGTGGCATTCTTTCTATGCCTTCTAAATGCTGACTTGTGAGAATATTTTGTGGGAAAGAGTTTCAGTTTTCCCATGTACTGGGAAGTGATGTTTTAGTGGCTGTGTACCACATGCTAGTCTGCTATATTCCGAATGAAGTAGCTGTCCACTTGAGCTTTCAGCCACAGGTGGTTAGTAGCCAGTCAATCTGCTTCTAGTGACTTTCTCATTATCCTTTGCTGGGAAAGAAAAATGATATAAATCCACCAGTAGACGTTGGGTTAAATATATCAAGGCTGTCACTTTTCACTAGCACTGTGTTGAAAGAAAAATTTTCATCAGAGTCCAGTCCAAGCAGGGAATAAACAAAATGGAGACTGCTTTAGAAAGAAGGTTGTAGTTTATTGAACAGCAAAGCTAGACAGAAGTGTGGCTCTGGGAAAGCTGACCACATGTGGCTGGGAGTGGTGGGTTTTTATACCTTCCTGGGCTTTTGTGTTTGGAGTTGTTCCTATTTGAGGCTTTGTATTTCCTGTATCATGTACTTTGACCTGAGTCTGAGTGTGTCCTTTTGATAATGGTGGGTTAATCCTATTATGTTTCCTGTCCTTAGAATTTGGGTAGGGGTATGTAGATTTTAGGGGTCTTTGTCTTCCTAATTTCATCAGCTTCAAGTTTCCTGGCTCTAACCTTCCTGAATGGATTATTACATCTGCATTTCTAAAAGCTGGCCTCTCTGCATGGGGCTATTAAGAAAAACTGGGCTTGCTTTTCTGCCTTTAAGATCCTTTGGGGAAATACATTCTGCCTTTTTAATATTCCCCAAAATATTTCTTTCTCTGGATTCTTCCCACAACTGTATTGCCTCAACTACTATTACTGATAATAATAATAATATAGTCACCTTTTTCTCACCTATGTGGCTTTTCAGAGTTTTCAGTCTGGGTAAACTACAGTGATTACTCAGCTCTTATTACTTTCTAAGCAGTTGTGCCAATACCAAATGGGTGTTGTCATTACCTTTGAGCAGATGGACTTTAAAAGTCTCTTCCTGGGTGCCTTGTCTTTGACCACAGTGGAACTGCCTGCTGTTTTTCTTCCTGTGGCTTTCAATCTCCTTGGCAACTGAGATCATCAAAGAATAAGACACAGTCATCCTGCAGTTATTCCTTAAATGCAGTTTATCAACTTTATTTTTCTATAAAAAAGCAAAGGGTACCAAGTTCATAAAATGCATGATGAAACCTAAACAGAATATTCTTTTCAGTTGGTCTTTGCTGGCTGCTTCCTATATACTGTATATCTTGGAATTGTTCTTTGAAGGAATGGAAAACCAGCCAAGATCCTTTTTGTTTTAACGTAAGGAATTAACCACAGATAATTGTAATACCAAAAAATAAAGCACTATGAAACTCAGAATAATGGTTTTATAAAGAGGACAGAACCGGAGAGGGCAAACTGCATGTTGATTTTGAAAGGGAAGGATGACTTATTCATCGAGGTGTCTTGAAATTTGTTTAGCTTTTTATCCATATTTAGATGACTTCCCCTGTAATTTTTTTCAAAAATTGGAAGGATAGCAGATGCAATCTTATGAATGGTTAAGCAGATTAATTTATTTTATGGGGCATTTTGCCAATCACGTTGTGAAAACTGATTTCTGTTGGCTTGGAGAAAGCAGAATCAAATCTATTTGGGTTTTGTTTTCTCAATCTTTAAAGCTATTATATATTAACAATAAACTTACTGAGTAAAGTTTAAAAGGGGCGTAATGCAGTCAGTTATAGGATAAGTGGCATTTTTTGTTTTGTGTATGAAACAGGATACAATGCCAAATACAATGCTAGATGGGTTTAAGATCATTCTATTCAGCGTAATATTGTCAACGGTGACTGGTAGTAGCCATTCACAGTTTCAGGCAGAAATTTGTCCAGCTTTATCTGTAGATCTCACATATATTTCATGCTTATTACTTTGCTATAGACCCTCCACCTAATTTAATTCCTTCTAATTCTAAATTGCTTCTGCTCTGTTTATTAAAGTCATGATTTGTCATTGTTTCTTTTAAAAAATCCATAGGGTTAATTTAAAGTTAGCCTTGAAATTAGTTTGATCCTAAGTTGTGACCATTCTAAATTATACTGACTTTAGTGGTTCCCTTTAAATATGACTTAAGTCCATATAAATACACTTTCTCCTGTATATTATGCACTCTTTGCTATTTTTCTGTTTCCAGGTAATGTTTACAGAAGAAGATGTTAAGTTCTATTTAGCTGAGCTGGCCTTGGCTTTAGATCATCTTCATGGTCTGGGTATTATATACAGAGATTTGAAACCAGAAAAGTAAGTTAATACCGAAACGCATTAGTTTAAATAAAGTTATTTTGTTGTAGCCACAAAATGTACATGAAATTATGCAAGATCTGATCATCATTACACCTCGTGAATTGCCTAGCCCAAAATGAACAGGCTGAATTCCCCCAAACAAGCAAAAAAAAAAAAATGTGTCACACCCATTCTGATGAGGTGACATCTCCAGCCTCAGCGGCAAACAGTGTATTTTTAGTGTATTAAGAACAAAAGTGAAAAAGAACATGCAAGTATTTAAAAATGATTGGTAGGCAATATACAAATACTTCTTAGTCAAGTAAGATGTTTCATATATTATATATTCGTATATTTCATAAATATATTGCATCATCTGATCAAGAGTAAGTTAGATAATCAGAGAGAGATTATTGAAACCTGTGCAAGTTCAACTTCGCTTTTGTTTCAAGAGTCTAAACGATCAGTATATTTCTTGTAGAGGGGATTATTTCAGGGGCAGTTTCTGTAAAAACATGAGCATATTGTCAATTGTTATGAGACATACTGATCTTAAGAAATGGATTCCATGAGCGGTGGTGGCGCAGTGGTTAGAACGCAGTATTGCAGGCTAATCCTGCTGATTCTGGATTTCCAGCATTTCGGCAGTTTGAATCTCACCGACTCAAGGTTGACTCGGCCTTCCATCCTTCTGGGGTCGATAAAATGAGGACCCAGATTGTTGGGGACATTAGGCTGACTCTGTAAACCACTTAGAGAGGGCTGTAAAGCACTAGGAAGCAGTGTATAAGTCTAAATGCTATTGCTATTAAAAATTAAAGTCATTATCCACAGCACTCAGATTGCTCTCTTGAAAAGGGATCTGTCCAGGATAGAAAGCTCGTTATGTTCTTCCCGTATTTGTTATAGGCCATACTTTTGACTTCATTTTCTGTCCATGCTGACAACTTTCCAGTAAATACCCTTAATATGCTGCTTTTCCATTGCCTGAGCATCATTTAAATTACCAATGACTACATCACTGCCTCTTTAAGGAAAAAAAAATAGAAAGGTCGATAAGCGTTAGAAAAAAAAGAACACTGTCTCTTTCTTACAGAAGGATCAAAGGGCTGTTGGTATTCTCTGAATTATCTGTAGATCAAGGAATTACAGAACTGGATTGTTTTCTTAAATATAGTGTTATTGAGAAGCAAGTGATGCAACCATTATTGGTATACAATATTGGTATACAACCAATTGGTATACAATATTGGTATACATTATTGGTATACAACCAATAATCAAGGAAACAAGATTTCTCAAAAGGCAACACATAAAGGACAAAAGAGTATTTATTAAATAATAGTAGTGACAATAGTCTGTTAGTGTTGATTATTCATTTACGAACAGTGACAGTCTCTTTTCAGCCTGCCAAAGTTTTATAAAAGACCACTTCCTTTTAAGTTACAGGTAGTCCTCAACTTATGACCACAATTGAGCCCCAAATTTCTGTTGTTAAATGAGACGTTTGCTAAGTGAGTTTTTCCCCATTTTACGACCTTTCTTACCACAGATGCTAAGTGAATCACTGCAGTTGGTAAGTTAGTAACCTAGTTGCTAAGTGAATCTGGCTTCCCCATTGACTTTGCTTGTCACAAGGTCGCAAAAGGGAATCACGTGACCTTGGGATACAGCAACGGTCATAAGTATGAACCAATTGCCAAACATCTGGATTTTGATCACGTGATCATGGGGATGCTGCAAAGGTCGCAACTGTGAAAAACTGTTATAAGTCACATTTTTCAGTGCTGTTGTAACTTTGAACAGTCACTAAATGAGCTGTTGTAAGTCGAGGACTACCTGTACTTTTTACGACAAAAGATAACTCTATCTAAAAAAAAAGACGGTTTTCTTTTTTTTAGGCAGTCTTTTTCAAGCAACAAATCTTTAGATGGGGGAATTATGTATCTCTTCTTTGCTTCATTCTTAATGGATGAATATAAACAAATTTGAAGAATGCATCTCTACATATAGGAGAAAAATCAAGAATGTTGTTTTTCATTGCAGACAGTTAAGTTAAAGTTCTAGGCATCAATGACATTGTCTGCCTTGGTTTAATATAACTTTTCATTACATTGTCTTCTAGCATTCTTCTAGATGAAGAAGGACACATTAAGATTACAGGTAAGGATCACCTTTCTACTGCAGCTGTATCTGTGTTATCTATCATATATCAGAGCACCTAGCACATTTGGGTTGCCATCAGGACCGCAGGCTCATTATGAAGTATACCTCATTGCTGCTTTAAGTTTAACACTCCTAGCAGTGTGAAGCAGGCACGATATCGATGTGCCCAACAACATCCTGAAATAGTGAATAGAAAATACTCATCTGAGTAACCTGGAACATTGCCTCAGCAACCAGATAAATGTGCAGGTTCAGGAGAGCTGTTCGCTTAGGAAGACATAGTCAGTCTTTAGTCCTGGGAATATATCGGACTGATGTGAGTTGAAATCCAAAACTGAGCACAAAATAGATAATTATGGATAGATGTACTTTTGGTGCACAAATACAGGTAGTCCTTGTCTTACTTTTTTTTAGTGACAGTTCAAAGTTGCAATGGCAGCGAGAAAGTGACTTATGTCTGTTTTTCACAGTTACGACTATTGCAGCATCCCCGTGGTCACGTGATCAAAATTGGAACGCTTGGCAACTGACATGTATTTATGACGGTTACAATGTCCCCGGGGTCATGTGATCGCCTTTTGCAACCTTCTGACAAGCAAAGGCAATGAGGAAGCCAGATTCACATAACAGCCCTGTTACTCACTTAACCACTCTAGCGATTCACTTAACAAAAGGTGGCAAAACAAGGTTCATAAAATGAGACAAAGCTCACTTAACGACACTCTTGCTTAGCAGTGGAAATTTTGGGCTCAATTGTAGTTGCAAGTTGAGGACTACCTGCACTTTATTTGGATATGCATGATAACTAATGCTATATAATATATTCACTTTTTAAAGATTTTGGCCTGAGCAAGGAAGCTATTGACCATGACAAGAGAGCTTATTCATTTTGTGGGACAATAGAATACATGGCTCCAGAGGTGGTCAACCGGCGAGGGCATACCCAGAGTGCAGATTGGTGGTCCTTCGGTGTCCTAATGGTAAGGGGAGAATTTTTTTGCAATTCACCAATTGGTTGACACATCGATATGAGAATGTAAGCTCATTATGAGGAGCATATTTAAGAGCTTGAATGTTTTGCATTTACGGGACTCCCCTCAGTCTTATCACCACTGTGGATTAGATCAAGACTTTGTTTAGATCCATTGATTCCAACGATTCTGTGTTTGAGGATGATTAATTCTGGGTTCAGTCCTATTAAAGCATATAAGGAAAGGCTGCTGGAATTGGGTATGTCTAGTTTAACGAAGAGAAGGATGAGGGGGGACATGATAGCAGTATTCCAATATCTCAGGGGCTGCCACAAAGAAGAGGGAGTCAAGCTATTCTCCAAAGCACCTGAAGGCAGGACAAGGAGCAACGGGTGGAAACTGATCAAGGAGAGAAGCAACCTAGAACTAAGGAGAAACTTCCTGACAGTTAGAACAATTAACCAGTGGAACAACCTGCCTCCAGAAGCTGTGAATGCTCCAACACTGAAAGTTTTTAAGAAGAGACTGGACAGCCATTTGTCTGAAATGGTATAGGGTTTCCTGCCTGAGCAGGGGGTTGGACTAGATGACCTTCAAGGTCCCTTCCAACTTTTTTATATTATTATTATTATTATTATTATTATTATTATTATTATTATTATTATTATTATTATTATTATTTCTAAAGAAGTGATCAGGATATTAGTTCTTCCAGCCCAGTATGGCATACTGTAGGAGGCAAAGTCTTAAGTAGAACTTTTTACACACCCTAGGAATTCTTTCAAGTGAAAGGACTCAGGATTAAATCCAGAGTCCATTTCATGCAAAACTGCAAGCTGGATATCCGTATCTAAATATAAATGTGGAGTAAAAATTGACTGCAGATGTTTAGAGCCATTTCCTGTATTGTGTTAACATCAGCCCTCTTTTGTCTTAAAATGTGATTTCAGCCCTTACAGCTCCTGCAGTCCAGATATTCATGACTTTTCAGACCATAATTATACAATTGATGTAATTTAACTCATGTGCTGTGTGTAATTTGCACAGTTTTTCACAGTTGTGTGGGTAATTTGGGAGGTACCAGACAATGCTGTCTCCAAGGGCACGATGGGCATTCTTTATCCTGAATGAAAAGCTGCCATCAACCTTCTAGGCGTTTTTTTTGTAGTTTGTAGTGTCTTCCTGAATCTTGTTGCTTTGGTATTTAATTTTGCATGGAAGAAGATATATCCTTCTGTAGGAGTAGCCAATGTACTATCAAGATGTGCCCACTGAAGCATTCTCATCTATGAAATCACCAGTACAGTAATTCATTGGTGGTAAAGGTAGTATGCAGGAAGTTGTACAAGCCAGACTGCTAAGGTTTTAATGAAAACCTTAGCAGTCATTGGAACATCTTGGCAACTAGCTATTGCCAAAACAAAATGTTTGTTCATTAATTTAGATAATATATTAAATAAGATTTTTTAACCAGCCTTTTTACTTTCCTTTTAATTCCAGTTACAGTATTTACTTTCTTCGCTCTAGACAGGTTTCACTGAGAGTCACTTGATATGTCACACAAGGCCGAATGCTGTGTTGTCTTCTTTTTCTTCCACATAGGATTACTACTGGGCCATATCTCTCCACGTGTCTCTTCTGATCTTGCACTATTTTTTTTGAGTTTTTCTATTCTCTGGTTGGTGTCAGCTTTGTTGGTGACATAAATAATAATGGCTGCTTTCATAGTTCAGTGTGATGTGCTTGTCTCAGAGATTAGAATTGTTCCNTGCCCTGCCCATCTTGATACTAATTCTTTTGCCAATGAGTTGGCTGCAGAATTTTCCATTTTCTTATCAGTTTACTTTTCCCCAGCTCTCAACTTTTTGTATTGTGGCTCAGTTTTTCCTGTACTTTTTCCACTGTGCCCTCTTCTGTTGAGGGTTTGTGCACTTCCAAAACTGTATAATCTCATCTTTTTTTTTTTTTACGTCTAATCCAATTTGGAATAGGAGAGCACAAGCATCTCTGCTTCTGCCGCTGCTGTGGCTCATTAGGAAAGCACAGCATCCCGATCCCTAGCCTGCTGTTGCTAGGAGACAAGAGAGCTTTATTTTATAGACAGTTGAATTAATTTTAAAAAACAGTGGTCGAAAGAGAGGGAAATTTAAGGATTATGAAGTGGCTAACCAGTCATTCAGAAACTGAAAGTTCTGGATAGAAGAACTGGAAATGCAAGTATTTGGGGAAGAAATAAGGCACTGGAGCCTTACCAGAAGAAAGTCAAAAAAGACCCATTGGAAAGCAAAGATGTAAGGGAGCAACTGGATGTAGCCTGGGCTACTTACAGCCTGGTGCAGCTGAAAGTGGTTCAATTCTCCATGAGTTGACCATTTTTAAAATTTCTCATTTCATTGGGAGGTTATGTCCTCTGTTTCTGAAGTGGAGGCTAGCCAAAGGAGGGTGTGTTTATGATCAGGGTTTGGTTCAGTGTTAGATTACATGGATTTTCATGCAGAAGGTAATGTGGTCTTTCTCCTCGTACCATTATATTAGACTTGAAAAAAATGACTACACAAAGTGCTGAAGAATCACTGTTAGTTGGCATTAATGGACTAGGCCAGTGGTTCTCAACCTATGGGTCGCGACCCCATTTGGGGTCGATCGACCATTTCATGGGGGTTGCCAAGCAAGGCTGTCCACCATTTTTTTCCCCTTTTCCGGTTGGTGCCTTACCTCCCTTGAGCTGGGCCAGCTGGTGGTTGGCCTGCTCCGTCTCTGCCGCTTGCCAGCTACGCCTCGGCCGGCGCAGGGGGCGGAACCACGCATGCACGGCGCTCCCGGGCAGGGAAAGTCCTCGACTTACGACCGGTTGGGTAGTCCTCAACTTACGACCGGTTTAGTCCTCAACTTACGACCGGTTTAGTCCTCAACTTACGACCAGTTGGGGGTCGCGGCATTAAAAAGGTTGAGAACCACTGGACTAGGACCACTATAAAAAATATATTCAATTCATTCATATGTGTTTAACCAGAAAACCAACAGCCTACTTCTCAGCATTCACAAGTTCCTATCAGTTATAGTAGCCAATTAATAACATTTTTATCCCAGTTTTTTAAGGTGGGACAGTCATAATAAAGCATCCTCATGAAGTCTTAATGAACATTTAATTAAAAGGCCTGTCTTCCATAATGCCTAGAAGCTTCTTTTTATTAATACCTCTCTGTCGTGCCTTTTAGGACTCTGCTGGACAATGTATAATTTATGCATTTAGTCCCCTGTCCCCGTAAAAATTTCATTCATTCTGTTTCATCCTCTGAATTGTGATGGAGCCATTATTCAAGGCAACATGTACAGCCTCAAACAATAGTTGGCTTCTTTTTATGGAAGTAACCTTAGACAATGTCAGACAGCATCTGATGCCAGATTATAGAAACTGCAACCATTACATCTATATTATTTCTGGAGCTACAGGAAATGCCAGATATGTGACAGACAGACAGATTCATCCTTAAGTAGAATCGTTTCCTTACCCTCACATGAAGAAGGTTTTAGCTGAAGCCAAAAGAATCTACACAAAGAGAGGTTGTAAAGGAATTTAAAGCTGATACGAGCAAGCCAACTTAAGCAGGGACTTAGACAAGAGAGTACACAATCCAAAGATAGAAGGAAGCATGGGAAAGAAATTCATCTTAATTGTGTTTAGTATAAAGGAGGAAACAGAGGGAAACTTGCACTGACTTTCAAGATTCTGTTATTAAATTCTACCACAATAATAAATATTTCTGGAATTCTGCAGGGTCTGCTTTTTATTCAGGCCTACCTGAAATGCCTAGTAGGCATGGTTTTTTTTAAAAAAGGCAAGAAAATGATTGCAGTCATGCCCGCTATTGAAGCCTGACCCTGGTTTATGTGCCTAAATCACAGCCACCATCTTGATTTTTTTTTATACCTCCCTCCCTCCCTGCCTTAAGCTGTTACCTTTCAGAAATGTTAGAATTCAATTCCTGTTAATCATAAGGTAGAATAGTGAAAGGACTGAAGTGTAATACTTAGTGGTATGGCTTGCAGCTTCTAATGAGAAGTGTCACAATCTCCTCAGATGAATTTTCCTCCTACGAACAGAAGAAATTCTGGGAGACTGGAGAGGGCTTTTCAGAACCAGCAAGGAAGAGCCACGTCCTTCTGCCTTTTGGATCCCACACATCTGGTGCCAAGTAGTGCACTAAAGACAGGAGTAATCCAGCAGTCCAAGGCTTTGAGGAACTTCTCCCTAGAACACTGTTCTCTTTCTAGAGCCAAGTTTGGGTATTTCGAAGATAGCTTCCTGAAATCCATACTGCTCTTGTTTCTTTGGTCTTGCCAACCATGTGGGGCTTGACAGTTATGCATACACTTTTGAGCAAAAGGTAATAAAGTTGAAGAAAAACATCAGTTCCATCTTTCCCTTGCACCAGCATGCCCAGAATCTGACCGAACGTTCGTATTAGACCTTGGCATTGCTTGTACTATTTCAAGATCTGGGCTTGACTTTGACTCCCACTGAAGCTTTTTTTCTGCTGATACTATATTTTACATTCCTCATCTTGGGTTGTAGACTATTGCATATTCTTCTTTTCTCTTTCATATAGAAATGAAGGAGATAGCACTTAGCACTTAGACTTATATACCACTTCACAGTGCTTTACAGTCCTCTCTAAGCGGTTTACAGAGCATATTGCCCCCAACCATCTGGGTCCTCATTTTACCAACTCGGAAGGATGGATGGCTGAGTCAACCTTGAGCTGGTCAGGATTGAACTTCTGGCAGTCGGCAGAGTTAGCCTGCAATACTGCATTCTAATCACTCACCACAACAGCTCATAATGTTATCTCTCTTATTTTTCCTTGACAAAGAAACCCTCTTTCACCTTTCTCTTTTCTCTCCATACCTTTGTCTTCTCTTCTCCATCCTGCTCCTCTGAAAAGGGAGATTAGTCTATAGCAATAGATATACAATAGGATATTATAGTACACAGTTTTTGGTGTACATGTGTGTTTCATATTACTCCCCTAATGACATTCAGATTTCTATAATTACTAAGCACGGTTAGATTTTGTTGAGCTGTTTATTTTCTCTTTCCCCCCCCCCCCTTTCCATATTTTGTACCTCAGCAAGCTTTGGGGATTCTGCTGATAACATTTATTTTTCAGGTCTATTTGGTCTACATGCGGGTTGGATTTAGAAAATCTGTTCTTAATCTGTTATTGATATATAAGCTTGTGTTTTTATACCCATAAAATTAGGTCTCATATGGATTTCATAGTCTCTGTCATGATGGGTTTTTTTTTCTTAGATGGGTTTAATCAATCTATAATGTAAGTTGAACTTTAAAAATCAGCAAATACTTTGCATAGTAATATTATGCAAAAATAGCTAGAATCATTTTAGCAAATGTTTCGCAGGTCATTCCTATTACTCTATATGGGCAGGTACATCTTGCATGTTGAAAGAAATGTCATTTTCATCATCCCGCTAAAAAAATGATCATTGCTCCCCCTCTCTCCCTCCCCAACAATCAGCTTTCGCCATATTAAGTGGTTTTGTTGACAAATCCTACACTTTTGTGGAAGGTGCATATCCTTTTAAGAAAAAATTCCCAAAATAATGTTGAGATTTTCGTTTTATAATAATAATAATTTTATTGAGCATTACAATTAAAAAGGAAAGACCCAAAATAAAAAAGTAAAATAATAAAAATGAGAAAATGCAGAAATGGAAGAACAGAAGAGCTGTGTGTGTGTGTGTGTGTGTGTGTGTGTGTGTGTGTGTGTAGGGAATAGAATAGAATAGAATAGAATAGAATAGAATTCTTTATTGGCCAATTTTATATATATATATATAAAATTCCTTAATTTCATTACAAATAAAAGTGTCCCAATCTGTCCGAATGAGCCCATAACCTTGAAACATAAACAGTTGCAACAATGGATCCAGGCCACTTGCTGTATCAAATAAATGACTTTTTTTTTTAGTTCAACAGAAAAAAATGAGAGTGCTTTTAAAATTAGTGTGGTTGTTCTTGCCATCATTCTGATTCTGCTTTTTTAAATTACCTATCAATGCAAATCTAGAATTACTGTTCCTTGGGGACTGTAGTTTTCTCTTTTATTGCTTTCATTTACTGAAATGGAACTGAAAGATGTACTCTGAGCTACTTAAATTAGATTTAGTGTCTAATTATAATTTGTTTTAATCAAAGTGGAGCAGATGCTAGCATTCCATTGATACGCTTAAACTGATTTTAAGGGGGGAAAATGTCTAAAAGATGGGTGAGTGGTCTTAGGGCTAAAAAGAAAAGAGGAACAAACTTTGTCAGGAATAATGTTCTGTAACATGGTATATATTTGTTTGATGAACAAGTACCTTCCTTCCAAACAGGCAGTGCTAATGGGGCTGATGGAAGTTGTAGTTGAACATAGTTGGTGGGCTCCAATTGGGAATCATTGTTTTACCACTTCTAGTTACTTTTACTGTTTCAAGTACACAGCATTCTTTATGGCTTTGAAGGAGATATATTCTTTTGTGAAAGAGAGAAACATTTCCATGTCACCAATTGAAAGTTTTCATCAATAGAAAAAGAAAATACTTTGAGCAATAATGTGGGCAAAGAAAGGATAGCTTGTGGCAGTGTTTGAAAGGATATTTAAAAATTTGTACTGATTCAAAGAGGCAACATCTTTTCCCCAAAAGTTCTGTTGCAGGCAATGTTCCACTTGGAATGCTATTTTATCATTTGCTTTTTGTACAACAAATTATAACAAGAATGGATGCCTGAAGACTCAGGATCAGATGCCATTATATTGAAAATCAATATAGTGTTCCATTTTTAGGAAAGGATCAAACCCAAACCATAGCATACAAAAGCAGGCATAGCATTTTAATTCAATTCAAAATCCACTAAAAAGAAAAGAAATTCAATCAAATACTCTGATCCTACCTATTTGTAGGGCATTTATCAGTCTTCTTACATAAGTGCCCCATATGTTATTGTTGACACAATTCTGTTCCCAGCCATGAAAAAGTTCATATACAGTATGAATCTTGAAGTTAAGCAGGAACACAGACTTAACCATTCTACTGAATGTGTTTCCTTGTGAATTCTTTAAATTCAGTTAAAATACTGGCTATTCTTATTCCAACCAGTAGAATTCTTCATGTCATGTTTAATTTATGGCAACCAGCAGCATTTATTTCTTTCCCTCTCAATTATTCTTTTAAAGATTTAATAAAGTGGATGGATAATAAGTTCCTTGTTTGTTGTTTTCTACACTTGATTGTTAAATTTTCCATATTCATTACTTTCGCAACTGGCTGTCTGATAGTCATGAGATCCAGGGAACTTTAGCATGATGCATTTTGAGGTAATTTCTGTACATTTCCACAGGACTTGTACATAAAATATTTTCACTGTATAATACAGCACCTGACTGTGTGTTCATTGAATGGTTTTATTATTATATCATCATAAGGTTAGAACAACCTTACTATTTACATCCAAAGTCCGGTGAATTTATTATGAATCTGTTAAGATATTGAGACTCTAGAAAAAGTACAGAGAAGAGCAACAAAGATGATTAGGGGACTGGAGGCTCAACCATATGATGAATGGTTGGGAGAACTGGGAATGTCTAGTCCCGTGGTTCTTAACCTGGGCGATATCGCCCCCCCCCCAGAGGGCGATTTCATTTTTCAGGGAGGCAATGGAATGAAAAGGGGAGACGCGGGGGCGAAGGAACGTAAAGGGGGCGATATGGGGGCGATGGAGTGAGAAGTTTTGGGGACATTTTTGAGACTTTTTCGTACAGTGAATCGCTGTATATCTGTCGTACAAAAACATCAGATAGCTATTAGTGGATTGAATTGTGTTTTCAAATGTTCCTCCAGCTAGCTTCAGTACAGAACGCTGTACATATGTGAATACACATCGGCTTTGTTTTCGAATTTTTGTTGTGCTCTGTAAAACATTTTGTGTGTCTCTTTGTATTGTATTTTTTTAGCGTGCACTCCAGTTCGATATTATATTTTCTTTGTGTCTTTTTAATCCTTTTTACAGTGTGCGTGACTGTATATACTTTCTTCTAATCTTAATTTAGTTTCAGAGTTTTCATCTTGAAATTCTTAGTTCCTGCATTGTGGTTTGTTCTTATGCCCTTTTTATATTTCTTTTTGCGTCTTAAATTTCACTTGTAATTCAATCATTAAATGTTACTGTTTTTCTTTTCGGGCATTTCACTTTCTTGCAATTGAATTTTGTTTTCAGTGGTCATTACATTTAAGTGTCTTAAATAAATAAGATAATAATGAAATATATGTATCACAAAGTTTGGGAATAAAGTGATGAGTAGCACCAAAATTTTTCACACAGTTGAGATATGGGAAAAAGACTGGAAATAAATTATTTGCATCGATATGTCTTGATGACAGTGTTAAAGAAAACAAAAAAAGTGTTCGCATTAATTGAAGAATTATTTCCTATGAGAGGTTATGTTGGGGGAGGGGGGCGATGACAGCTTCCTCATTGGCTCAAGGGGGCGATTCGTTCAAAAAGGTTAAGAACCACTGGTCTAGTCTAACAAAGAGAAAGACTAGGGGAGACATGATAGCAGTCTTTCAATATTTGAGGGGCTGTCACCAAGAAGGAGGGGGTCAACATTCTCCAATGCATCTGAGGGCAAGACAAGAAGTAACAGATGGAAGCTTAACAAACAGAAATCCAACTTAGAATTAAGAAGAAATTTCCTGACTGTGAAAATTAATTGGTGGAATGGCTTGTCTCCAGATGTTTTGGGTGTTCTATCACTGGAAGATTTTAAGAGATTGGACAACCATTTATCCAGAATGGTACAGGATCTCCTACCTGAGCAGATGGTTGAACTAGAAGACCTTCCAATTCGGTTGGTCTTTTATTATTATCTTTTAAATAATAGCCTACAAGTTGGAGGTTAAGGTATTCTTCCTTATCTTCGTGTATGTTCCACATATGGGGTTAATGGGGGTACTAATTTTTATGGGGCATGGATGAACACTATACATTGTTAAGATAAATACAATAGACTATATGCTATGCTTATATTTACACCGTTTCATGCTTCTTAGAATTTCTATTCCCTCTTTACAGTTTGAAATGTTGACAGGGTCACTACCATTTCAGGGGAAAGACCGAAAGGAAACAATGGCACTCATTCTCAAGTGAGTAGCAAACTCCCAACTTTATATCTATCTATAGCTATAGTTTATATTCTTTAACTCAGAATAAACTTTTTGGGTTATGTAAATTGTCTCGTAGAAAATACAAGAAATGACATTCCAAATATATCTAAAATACAGTAGCTAGTAGCCCAGGAACCACTCTTAATTAAGGAGCTGAAAATTCCAGCGGTTTATCAAAAGTCCAATCCACTTTTAAGTCTAACTTGCAATATGGGAACCTATTTAAATTATGAAAATCTTCTGGGATGTTCTCAATGCCCAATAGACTTTCCATTGTCCTGCTAGGGAGATTAGCGCTGCTGACTAAATATAAGGCATAATGTATTGCATTATGAGCTGGGTGTTCAAAACATTAGTGAGGAGCTCATTGACTAGCTATATGAAGTCTTAATGTTGGCAGAAATAGATAAGAAATGTGATCTAGCAGAATTATTAGATTACAGTACTATAGTCACATTTGGAAAGGAAGGAAGGAAGGAAGGAAGGAAGGAAGGAAGGAAGGAAGGAAGGAAGGAAGGAAGGAAGGATATAAGTTTGTTACCTAAATTGGGAAACGACCAATTCAAATTCCAATTTCTTCCATCCCCACCCGCACTCCCTTCCCAGTGCAGTTACTTAAGCACAGTGCTTTTTTTCTATATATAAAAAAAAAAGGTGCCGGAACTCACACGTCATACAAGCCGCCTTGCCTATCCTATAAGGTTCCATCCAAAAAAAGGTGCCGGAACTCCGTTCTGGGCGTTCTATGAGAAAAAAAGCCCTGCTTAAGTACATACCTCATTGAACAAAGTTAATCTGTTCCACTAATCTCTCTTTGCTCACTCTTTAGCATGCAGAGATGACTTGTTACTGTGCCCTTCAATCTTTCATTTAACTATAAAAGGATCAAAAACTGTTTTGCAACGTAATAAAGACCTGATTGTTCCAAGTTGTATATTGCTCTGATTGCCCAACATCTTGCAAGTAGGTGAGATGTAGGAGTGCCATATTCAGGCTGCTTGTCAAATCCAGCATTATTCCCTTCAGGAATATGAGCACACCCATAAACACACACATACAAACTTAGTATGAACTGGGCCAAATTATCTATTAAACTTCCTATACACACATCAATATCTTCATTGTTCATAATTTTGCAATTAATTGAGTGTTGCAAATGAAAAATAAAAATATGCATCATAGAAGTGCATACGTTAAAAAAAATGCACAGAAATGCATGTGAATGTTCATATAAGATTTTTATTTTGTTTTTGTTTTTATTTGCCAAATTTTAAACAGCATGGCTGAAAGAACAAGGGATCAGAAGAAAATTTCACAAAAAACCAAGACTGAGAGAACAGTCCACTTGCTAACTCTCTCAAATAGAAAGAATTATGACTTAGTATATATAGCTGCAATCTTAAGGGATAATAAATTCTCTATAAATAAGTAGCACAGACATTTACATTAAAAAGTTTAATAATATTATCCCAAAACTTGGTCTATAGAAAGTTTAAATGTTCTTTTGAGACTTCTATATATTTTGGTGATGTATTTAATCATTTACATACATGCGTAATTTTTTTTTTAAAAAACAATGTTTTTTTATTCCTGCATTAAAATGTCCTATTTTTTTCAGAGCCAAGCTAGGAATGCCACAGTTTTTGAGCATAGAAGCTCAGAGTTTGTTGCGAGCTCTTTTCAAGAGGAATCCATCTAACAGATTAGGTATGGGAATTTATTTTATTACTGCATAACACAGTGGCAAATTTCCCCAGTTGTTTTTCTCTTTAGTTAATTATCATTTAGTCTCATATACGTGATGCAGCTGAACAGTGTGTGATGGAGAACTACAAGGTAATTTCACTTTAATTAATGACATATTTGGGGCTGTTGGAAAAGATGCTGCACATGAGTGGAAGCGCAACATATCATCCACTGACAGATACAGAATACCTGTCAGTACCTCATGCTAGAGGCACAGAGAAGCAGGACCACACAAATGAGCCAGATTTGTGTTCTCACATTTTTCCCGTGGTAGGAAAAAATGTAAAATGTAATGTGTTCTTTTAGTTCTGGTGTCTGCTGTAGAATAAATGAAGCTTGATTTTGGCCTGAATGGGTGGGAATTCTTCAATGCAAATGGTATATTGTTATCTACCAAATTATGCCCAAAGTCAGTGAATTTTCACAGCCTAATATGCTGCTCCCCATGGAATTGCTTCTTGGTTNCTGTGGGTGCCCCTACCCTCTGGAATGAACTACCCCCCGAGATCCGGATAATTCCGGATCTCCTTACCTTCCGTCGCGCCCTCAAGACATGGCTCTTCCAGCAAGCGGACCTGACCTAGGGTGGATTTTACATTGGGTTTTAAATATTCGGAAGACGCAACATTAAAATTCGGTTTAATTCGGTTTTAAGGGGGGGATTTTATATATGTTCTGGTTTTAAATATGTTGTGCGCCGCCCTGAGTCCCTGTCGGGAGAAGGGCGGCATATAAATTAAATTAAATAAAATAAAAATAAAAAATAAATAAATGTGGAGTAAAAATTGACTGCAGATGTTTAGAGCCATTTCCTGTATTGTGTTAACATCAGCCCTCTTTTGTCTTAAAATGTGATTTCAGCCCTTGCAGCTCCTGCAGTCCAGATATTCATGACTTTTCAGACCATAATTATACAATTGATGTAATTTAACTCATGTGCTGCGTGTAATTTGCACAGTTTTTCACAGTTGTGTGGGTAACTTGGGAGGTACCAGACAATGCTGTCTCCAAGGGCACGATGGGCATTCTTTATCCTGAATGAAAAGCTGCCATCAACCTTCTAGGCGTTTTGGGTTTTTTTTTTGTAGTTTGTAGTGTCTTCCTGAATCTTGTTGGTTTGGTATTTAATTTTGCATGGAAGAAGATATATCCTTCTGTAGGAGTAGCCAATGTACTATCAAGATGTGCCCACTGAAGCATTCTCATCTGTGAAATCACCAGTACAGTAATTCATTGGTGGTAAAAGTAGTATGCAGGAAGTTGTACAAGCCAGACTGCTAAGGTTTTCATTCCTGTCATTGGAACATCTTGGCAACTAGCTATTGCCAAAACAAAATGTTTGTTCATTAATTTAGATAATATATTAAATAAGATTTTTTAACCAGCCTTTTTACTTTCCTTTTAATTCCAGTTATAGTATTTACTTTCTTCGCCCTAGACAGGTTTCACTGAGAGTCACTTGATATGTCACACAAGGCCAAATGCTGTGTTGTCTTCTTTTTCTTCCACATAGGATTACTACTGGGCCATATCTCTCCACGTGTCTCTTCTGATCTTGCACTATTTTTTTTGAGTTTTTCTATTCTCTGGTTGGTGTCAGCTTTGTTGGTGACATAAATAATAATGGCTGCTTTCATAGTTCAGTGTGATGTGCTTGTCTCAGAGATTAGAATTGTTCC